TCACATCAGGGGCTCTGTCAGTCACCACCACCTCGATCTTCGTGGCTTCCTAAAACAAGTTTCCACGCTCCCTCTCGACTCTCGCTCTTGTATAGCAGCCTACGGTAAGATTACAGGGGCTTCCACCATGCCTCCTCTGTGAATGCCCATATTTTATTGTCCTATGGCTTGTGCTCAGTTTTCCAAAGTGGGTGTTCACTAGACACTCTACAGAGTTTTGTGTTCGTGCAAACGACGGCAGTGTCTCGTGTAGTGACAACAGTTTCAAATTGGACAGCTTGAATCCTTAATAGAAACCAAAGAGACTTGGCAGGGGACTCTGTGGATCGAAAGGAAAGAATCTTCCAGTTTCTGACCAAAAGGTGGCCCTTTTAAAGACATATTTGTTAGTTGTGAGTGACAGGGGTTACAGAGCCAGCCAGGACCATTTCTAAAGTGTTAAGCTGACCTTAGGTAACAAGGTCACGAGGTCGGAAGGGGTCAGGATTGGTGGAGGGGAACTCTTTGCCTTTTGTGGAAAGCTTTTTAAAGGTTTTGACTTTCTGTCCCTCCCTCTCTTCTCTCTGGTCTCCCCCTGGCTGGTTGTTTTTTAAAAGCCACCATGGTTTGAAAACAAATTCATTGGCTGTTTTCTGACTGACCTCTCCAGCCTGGAGGCACATGAACAACCACATGCTGTGGTTCCAGCGTCTCCCCTTTTGCCAGTGTGGCTAAAACCAGTGAGATGCGCCAGAGTCTCCATGCCCACCTTGTTACCTTTAACAATTATTAAATTAAAGCACGGGTTTCCTTTCTTGACATTTTCCTCCCTTCAGCTTCTCTGTGCTTATGAATGTCTGAATCCTTATGTCTTTGAGGATCCTGAACAAGTCATTCAATCCTTTTGAAACTCCAGCTTTCTCATCAACAAAATTAGAAAGTTAGATTACACAATATATCCTTGCTGCTTATTTTGTTAGTTTATATATCCAAAAAGGCTCTGTGTTTTTTTTCATTCAAGAATTCAAGATAAGCACATTCTGTGTTCTATAATACCTACATCTTCTCTAGAAATGAAGAGCTAGGAATTAAGATGACTCTTATTCTGACAAACCATTCCCCTGAATATAATTGCACATATTTTAGAAGCTGGGGCAAAATATTTGGGGCACCTATCCCCAAGTCCTAACTTCTTTCCATCCCCAAACTACTTAATAAATGCAATACAATTGTCGAAAACATTGCACATGGTTTATTTTCAGCATATGGCTGTGTTTGGTGTCTCTGGCCCCTGATTTATATATTACTCATGTGAGTTTTACCGTAACAGGGGGTTTGAACAATGGGTTCTTATTACAAAGCCATTGTCTTTTCCCCTTGTGAACATTTGAAAGCCCATTTGGAAAGCACCTTTTAAACAGATAAAATCAGGGGTTTGCTCACATTTTCCTCATTTGACTCAGAGACATTTCCTCCCCATTAACCTTGCCCCATCAGTTTGAAAGGAAAGCAAGAAACCTCACTGCGAGTCCATTCACCTTCCCCTCCGTAAAACTCTGGACCCGACTTTTGAATTTTGTTCAGGCTTTCAGCCACAGAGATCTCGGTTCCATAAAACCACAGTTGCCTGCTGCTTTGGGGTGGCCCCATGGGAGGTCACTCCAGGGGTGGGAGTCCAAGCACGCTCCCCTGACCCCTGTCCCCACCCCCATCCCCACCCCACGGTGTTTGCCTGTTGGGAACTCGGAGCAGGCAGGCTGGCGGTTCTGGCTGCCAGATGCTCATGTAGTTCCTTCCGCCCCCATTTTAGGAGAAAATAACCAGGGGAAGAGGAAATAATTGTGTTAATGATCATGGCCCCACAAAAACCTAGTGTATATGCCGGAGAAACCGATTATGGGGAAGGGGAAGCAGAGCTCAAGAGAAGTCCCTGAGCACCTGGTTGTGAAATTTGCATTGTTTTCACGGATTCAACAGATATTTTTATGAACAAAGTTCTGTCCCAGGGGCAATGAAGACGCATGAGACACACACCGGGGTGTAGGAAGCGGATATGCAATCCAAGGGACGAGGGAGAAGAGCCCATACAGAATGGAAGTACTGTCCTGGGGCGGGGGGGACAGAGGCAGAAGAGAGTTGCGCTGATAGGAAGTCGCATTTGAGCCCCCTCTTGAAGAAAGGGTAGGATTTTCACAGACTCGCTAGGGGCCAGAGGTCAGGAAAGCTATTTCAGGATGAGGACAGAGAAAACAGCTTGGATACAATCCTAGGGAGGGAGCAAATGGTGCAAAGCAGGCAGGTGGGAATCGATGAGTAGGCCCTTCAGCAAAGAACATTTAGGTTGTAAGCCATAGTTGAGAAGAAAAATTATAATAGTTGGAGGGAGGGCAAGAAAACGATTTAAAGACAAGATTACTTTGAAATTTGGCTCAAAATTATTTTCGTTAGGAAGATCTTAGTTTATGTAGGTGACAAACCTTTTGGATGATACAAGAGCATCTTATATGCTTTAACAGTTACCTAGACACTATTATTGGGAGTAGAGTGGAGATTGGAAAAAAGAAGGTAACATTCCTACATGGGAGAATTATTTCATAAGGATTATTATGATGATAAAATTCATAGTTTAGGTTAAAAAGCTTTTTAAGAGACCTTTGCTATTATCATAAAGTTTATTGCAATTCGTATAAGAAACTTGTTGAAAGTGATTGGCTATCTACAATCAGAGGGAAGTCAGCAAAAATGATGGAGATGGGGGAAGAGACTGGAAGGTGTGTCAGAGTTAAAGGCAGCAGAAGTAATCCCTGATAAATACACAGTCCTGCAAAAGAGTTCTCGGAGCAGCTGCATGGATAGACTCACAGGCTGAAGGCGTGTGGGAGGGAGAGTGGTAATATGCCCACAAACATACGTGATTTGACAAAGGATAGTTGCTCTTGTGTTTTGACTCTTGTACTCAATTGTGTGGATCATAACAAAATGTGGGTAGCGTTACACAGAATGGGAATTCCACAACACTTAACTGTGCTCCTGTGGAATCTATACATAAATCCAGAGGCAGCCAGATGTGAACTGAACAAGAGGATGCTGCATAGTTTAAAATCAGGAAAGGTGTGCATCAGGGTTGCATCCTTTCAGAAAACTTTCAGTTTGGAGAAAATGATGTAAGAAGCTCTACTATATGAAGAATGGCAAGGCATCGGGTTAGACTCTAACCGGTAGAGAAAGGGCCATCAACAACCTGGTAGATACAGGTTGACCCCACCTTGCTTCCTGAAGAGGACTTGGAGCTCTGACCGAGGAAGAGCAAAGACAATGACCTTCGGTATGGATTACAACTCACTGTAAAGAGAACAAAGCCCGGACTTCTCGCCTCCTTGCAGATCGGAAGATCTTCGTTGGCCTCAGAATGGGAAAACGAGCCCTGATGCACACGCCAAATGATTGCTTCTTTTCACTGTGTCCTGAGCTCCCTCCCAGGCCTGGACTTTTGCGTAACAAATGTCTCTGCTAATTAACCTCCTGAATATCCTTTGGTCCAGTTGCCCACTAAGGGCAAGGTGTAAGGGTGACAGGAAACACTAGGGCGGGACATCTTTGATATTTCACCTACTTAGGGATCTGGCCACGTGGGGTCAAGCGAACTGGAAATGGAGGTCTGGGGCTCAAACTCAGCGGAGATGGGTGAAGCTGAGAACGAATCCCCTTTCCTTTATGTCAAGGAGGAAAAGAGATCGATTAAGTCATTTTTAAAATTATGCACTGTGCTAATGGCCCTTCAGGGACAGACAGGAAACTTGCAATTTCGTTATAAGAACCTTTAGAAATCTGGCCCCGGGCTCCTCCTGTAGTTGCTTTTCTCAGCCCTGCCCTGCTTGACCACTCTCTTTCAGCTCTGTAACTTTACCAGATTGTTCCTTGAGGCTGGAATGCCTGTGAGGCTTTCCTGTCTCTTCCTCAGCCAGCAAATGCATCCTTAAAGAAGATCAAATGTCACCCCCTTGAAAGCTTTCCTGTTGCCTGGAGCGCTGTTCTGGAGTGCCGTCGCTCAGCCTACGGTTGTACCGCACAGCCCACTGACCTGTGAGAAATGCAGGGCCGGCGCTGCATCCATCCCCAGCACCTACCACATGATAGCTATTTAGTAAGGAACAACGGCTGGATGAGAGGGGGAATGATGTGATACATCGACTCAAAGAAAGCTGGAACTGACAAGAAAAGTGACGTCGGCATCGTTGAGCTGCCAGCAATAGCGACTGTCAATACTTGGTGCCGTCCCAGATACTTGCCACATACGCTCTTCTTCCTAGCCAACGCGCTAGGAAACGAGGACAATTTTTTATTTTCATTCGCAGATGTAGGTTCAAGATAGAGAGTGCTTACCTGCTTAAACTTGCTTGCCTATGTTAGTAACAGTGGCAGAAACATGTGTAAGGTTGGAACCAATCCCCAACATACACACACACACACACACGCACGCGCGCACGCACTTCACACTCGAAGCGAGGGCATTGGACCCTGTGATTGATAAAATTGACTTTCAGTTTAGTCAGACTCTGAATCAGTGGCCAGAGGTGTGACTGTGACTGAAATACAATGTATGCAAATGTCAAAACAGCGACAAGGTCTTGGAAGGTGGAGAAAGGTGGATTCTGGGAGCCCATGCTTTCCCCTCTCACAGAGGAAGTGGCAGGGGCGCCACTCCCACATATCTTCTACACAATTCCTGAGAAAGCAGCATCTCGTTTCTCTCTGAAGGCTCACTTACCCGGCCTTTCCCGCAGCATGATGCTGGGAGAACGGCCATGGGGTTTGCTGGGTGACAGCCGCTAAGAGAGTCTCAGGTGAGACTTAGGAAAGTGGTTGGAACTAGGAAGCAGAGAGGCCCATCTGAGTGGTAAAGGCAACAGATGGCAGGGACAAAAAGGGTTTGGGTTGAAGAAAGGAATCAATGGACACACTGACTTCATCTTTGCCTGCTTCGGCCCCCTAGTGTTCCTAATCCAGTGAATTACTCTCACCTAGTCGGGCGCCCGTCTTTAATCCCAACACCTCCATCTCGGCTGGGCTGTAAGCACCTCTCCTTTGTCCTAACCACTTGGCATGGGGTGAGTGGTTTCAGTTGCCAACTCCTGGTGAGCCCACGTGTAGAAAGTAGATCTGCGCCAGATGCATTGTTAAATCCATCACACCTGCATTTGGTGAGGAGTCAAGTACGTAATCATTTGCACCACCCCGGAGTTCCTCGGGATTGAAGAGTGTCCCCCCCAAAAATCCACGTCCGCTCGGAACCTCTTCATGTGACATTGATTTGAAAATAGGTAAGGGTTGAGATGAAATTATATTGTACCAGGGTGGGCCCTAAATCCAATATGAGTGTCCTTTTAAATGACAGAAAGGGGCACACAGGGAAGAAAGTCTTGTGAAAACAGAGGCAGAGACTGGAGTTATGCCGGCCCATAACAGGAAATACCAAGGCACCCAAATGGAAAGAGGTAAGGCCGGCTTTTCCCCTGAAGCCTGGGGAGGGAGTGTGGCCCTGCAAACCTCTGGCCCAGAGATCTGGGAGAGAAGAACTTTATGTTCTAAGTCACCACGTTTGTGGTAATTCGTTATGGCAGTCCTAGGAAACGAATACGCTTCCCAAGCATTCTCCCCTCATTCCAGTTCTTCAAATACCAAGCTGTCAGGTTGATTTTCATAAATCACAGCTCTGGTCCCACAACTTCAGCAACCGCCACCCTTCTCTTGTTTCCCCTTTCCCAGCATTCTTGGTCCTTCCTGTTCTGGTCCCGAATTCGGTCCTCTTACTCCCTGTTGATGTACGTGGAAATCGAATGACTGGCTACTCTTCTGCCCTGCCTCCCCCTCCCTCTTCTCACACGTGGGCTCCTGCTTCTGTTTCCATGCACAGCGTGAACCCTCCCGCTGTCATTGAAACCTTCTGAGAACCAGTTCAAATGTCAGGAGCAGAATAGGGCCTTCACAAATACCCACAGTCAAAATTAATTTCCCATAACATCTCCTCGTGCTTCCAACAGAACACAGTCAAGCCTATATTTAGAGTTATTCTTGTCAATCTGCTTCTCTTAGGTTGTGAGCCACAGGGAAAGAAGAATCTCATGTTTTCAAATCTTTCAGAGACAAGGACACAACAAAGCAGCCCTAGTGGCGCAGTGGGCACTTGTTGAGCTGCTTACCGCAAGGTCAGCAGTTTGAAACCCCCAGACGCTCGGCAGGAAAAAGGTAAGGCTTTGTGTTCCTGTAAAGATTTATAGTCTTCACTCCCATAGGGGAGTTCTATGCTGTCTTATATGCTCACTATGAGTCAGAAAAGCAGGTGGTAAAGAGCTAAAAGTGCGAGGTGGGGCTGACCATACTTTACCTGCCTGATACCTTAGTCTGTTCACTCCTTCATCGCTCCCTGCTCTCAAATCACTTCTAACTGATGGAGAGCTTGTAGGACAGAGCGGAACTGAGCCAGAGGGCTTCTGAGACTTTACGGGGGGGATCATTCCTGTTTCACAAGGGAGCAGATTGAGGCTCCGATCGGAAAGTGGGGGGGGGGGGGTCTACCCTGTCCTGATAGGGCCGCTGTGGGTTGACATGAAGTGGATAGCAGTGAGTTTTCAGTTGCCCTACAACCTGGAGGTGCCCTCATCTCTGTGAACTGAGGGTTGGTGGAGAGAAAATGGATGGGTTAAGACCGAGGAAATTAGCAACGGTCACTGTGTGAACTTGACCAGAAGCAGAGGAGGGCGGTTTGGCAAGTGGCTCAGGCTCAGTTGGGCTGGACGACATACAGTTCTCCTGTGGGCCCCTCAACTGGGGGTTAACTGATGAGCAGTTATTGAGAGGAGATCGGAAAATCAAGATCATGGCAATAGCAATAATTAGTGCCTGTACAGTACTTTATGGTTTATATAGAACTTCACAGTTACTGAGTCCTGTCCACTCTGGTGGTATAGTGGCTGTGCATTGGGCTGCAATCCGCATGGTCAGCAGATCCAAGCCAGCAGCAGCTCCTCGGGCGGAAGACTAGGCTTTCTCCCATAAACAGTTACAGCCTCAGAAACTCGATGACGGTGCGTTCGAGTCCACCCTGTGCCATCTTTAATTTGCAGGTGAGGAAATCAAGACTCCGAGAGTTGAACTCTTTATGCAAGACCACCCAGCCGGTGTGAGCAGTACAGCGAAGGTGCAGATCCCAGTCCCTGCATAGAACTTCCTTACCTGTCTCCTCCACAGACGCGGGAGCTGGAGCAGCCAGCAACGAGAGACGGACTGAGAGTGTAAGACACGGGAAAGGGAGAGCGAGGTCTGGCCGACCGTGTGAAGAGTCAGGCAGAGATAAGGGAACACGGGACGGATGCACACAGGGAGCAAGGGGCAGTGAGAAACCACCTCAAAGGTTGGGGGGCAGGCACAGGTACCCTAGGATGGAGAGATGTCCTTGGATTGGGGAAGGAGTTGTTCACTAGTGACCTCTGAAAGATTTCAGGAGAGCAGTGGGGCGGAAGTGAGGAGGGTGGGTGGAGGAAATGGGCTGATGAGTGGCCCCATTTTTCATTCAGAAAGCTTGGCCGGGAAAGGGAAGAGAGCCCAGGATCATAGCTGGAGGGCACAGCAGGCCCCAGCAAAGGTTTTTCCAAGGGGGGAGGCAGGGGTCCCGGGAGTGTCTGGAATACATCTGAGTTCAAGGCTGGCCTCTGTTTCCAGATGTGCAGCAGCCAGCGGTGAATACAATAATGTCTCCATCTGTCTGCCCAACTGGAGGCCTCCTTTTCTCAAAAAGACATCCATGTTTACTAGCATGTGGTATTCATTTTGTCTGAATTGTAGCAAACAGTGTCTTGGTCAACTCTTGTCAGATCAATCCCTGGGCTGCTGTAAATCCACAGTGCCATCCAGCAACGTTTATTGCAGTGTGACGACTAAGCTCGGGGTCTGGCGGGAGACAGGCCTGTGTGTCAATATGGGCTCGGCCAGCCTATTAGCTGGGTAGCCTTAAGCCAGTTCACTTCCCTTTTCTCATTTGTCAATCAAGGATCAGCTCCATCAGCGTCGTCAGCGACGACAATAAGATCATCTACAGACAGCGCAGAACACAACATCTGGAACATGTGAAGCCTACAATCCAAGGAGGCAACTCTCGGGAGTGGTGGTCTTGGTGGGAGCAGTCCAGGCAATGTTAGGACAGCTTTGTCCTTACAATCAAAGCGGCACATTTGCTTTTGCTTTTTGCACCTCCACACTGTATAGCCATCTTTCACTGTCTCCTTTGACCAGGATTTTCTTCAGATCAGAGACGAAGGGTGCTGAATTGGCTACCCCCCCACTCCACAACAGCCCCCTCCCGTGCTCATTCCTTCACGATCAGGTCCGTCTGTGTGTGGGAAGAGATCTGAGTCCTTTTCAAACGGATCTGTGGTAGAGAGTGGGGGGTAGGGAGTGGGGGGCAGAAGAGGAGGGAAGGAAGGGCACCAAATGAAACTCTTTGATCTAAAAATGACCCCGAACACACACACACACACACACACACTTGGTTTCTATCTATCCAATCTTATACCCACGAGCTACTCTTTCTACAGCTTCAGGGACATTGCTAAGCATTTCTCCTGTCATCGGGATTAAAAGTGGTAAGAGCAGAATGTGACCCAACCCTGGCCCTTCTGAAGCTGTAAAGTTGTTCATGATTGGGTGCTCAGAACGATTAGCATCTTCTTTCAGGAGACTTCCACAGATCTTACCCAAATCTCTCTGGGATCATTTAGCATTGTAAGTTTAATAAAGCTATGAAGGGAATTAGCTGGGTGTGTGTGTGTGTGCGCGTGCGCGCGCGCCCCCATGCAGGAATGGAGGGAGAGCAGTTGCTGAATCGCTGCAGGCCAGACCGCCCCTGGAACCAAGACAAACATAAACAAATATCCATGCCCACTGCGGATTTTCTTTCAAGTTTTCTTGGTTCTTCACAAATACCCCTTCTTCTTTGATCAGAGTGTCTTCTGAAGACCTCGGGGGAAGCTAGACCAGGCGTCCCGCTGCTCTCGCCCCAGCTTATGTCATGGAGACCCACCGCTGCTTAGGAGAAGGCCACTTGGAGGAGGAATGTGCTCCCTACAGTACTGCTGCTGTCCCGGGAAGAGTGATGGCCTCTCCAGTGTGAAGATAAACAGATGGTTCCCAGCACCACCTACCCACCCCTGCTCTGGAAGGACCCATCATCCCCCTGCTTTTCAAACAACCCCCAAACTATGGCTGCTAATGCAGGCAGACCCTCTCTGGACTCCCATTCTGGTTGGCTCCGGATCCCTGGGGAGAGGAAGGGTTCGCCCCCGCTCAGGCTTTGAGGCAGAGGCAATGCCAAGATAAACTGGTTCAAAAACAGGTGAGCAAGTGGAGAAACAAGAAGGAGGGGTGTGAACACAGAGGGGGTCTCTGATGTGACGGTCGCCACGGTCGTTAGCATCTTCTTTCTGGAGACTTCCACAGATCTTACCAAAAACCCCCTAGGAACTCCTTTTCCGGTAGTTCCAGCGGGAAACCACCACCGTTGCCTCCTCCACAAAGAAGGAATGTGTCGGAGCACCAGGGGCATGCTCTCTCTGTGTCTTTGCTGTCTGATTTGGTAGCCACTGGAGATGGGAGCAAATGGATTCCTGCCAAAGCGCTCATGGTGTGGGAAAGCTGTGTTGTTATAACACAACTCACTGCCATTCCGTCAGTGCTGACTCGTAGCAACCCTATAGGACAGGGTCGAAACGCCCCTGTCGGGTTCCAAGACTGTAACTCTTGAAGGGAGTAGAGAGCCTCATCTGTCTCTCGCATTGCGGCTGGTGGTTTCGAACTGCTAACCTCACATTCAGCCTGACGCATAACCCACTAGGCCACCGCAGCTCCTATACAGCTATAGTAGTTCCACAAAAACCTAACATGTGAGGGTTTCCATCACGGAATACCTGTGGGAGAAGCAATTGGACAGGGAGTAGTTGTGTTACCATAAACCTCAGGTCAGCTCTCAAAGCGCTTTGTTCTTTTCATGGCAAAAGCAATAGGCT